AAACACTGGAACGACTTGGCTTTGGAGTTTCACTACACCAGGTGAGCTACAATACATGAGCATCAGGGCCGCAGTAGCTGCGCTTCCAGTACAAATATGCACAAATCTTTCTCTAAATCAGTGGAAGAGACTAAATCATTCTGTTGAAAGCACTTGGAGGCATGAAAAGTATTTTAAATCAAACTTTTTGTGCTTTTTAAAAAGTTATCTGCTCAAAAATAAACTAAAGTAACAAGTTAAATCATTGTCGATACAAAACATAGAAAAAGTTTTGCATGATTGCGTTGTAAGATTTGTTTCTCACTTTTTTTTGGAGTTGATTGCTTCCTTATTTGGGCTGAATGCTTTGAGTTTAATAAAAGAGATTTTTATTTAAAAGTTTCTTTAAAAAATGCTCTAAAGATGAAAAAGTATCGATTTGCATCAGCTGCACAAAATCCTGCAGATGGCTACAAATGGCCCCTGCACCGCATTTTGGGAACCTGTGACCTAAATTCTGCTGTTTCCATTAAATAAATTAAAACAATGTGAGAAAGCTTGTTCATGCAACAAGTCACTAAAACGACTAATGTAAACAGTTGCATGAAATATGTTCATAATTCAGCCGTGATGCTGAGCCACAGTGTCTGAAAAACAAAAGGCATCTTCCTTTTACCACTTCCTGTTGTCTACTTCCTGGTTTGTGCCAGTGGCAACATCCCACTATCGATTATGTGACTGAAGTGATGCAAAACAATGTTTTGATGAAAAACCACCTCATCCTTGAGCCAAAACCTTTTAGAAAAGTTTTTTTCAAAATTGCCGTGTTTCCATTAAGCAAAATTATTTCTGTAATTTCAATTTGCACAATTTTGTGGTTAAGCTGCATCTTTATTTTAAACCTTTGCTACCTTTTTAGGTCATGAAAGCGTTTGAGGTCTGGTTTCAGCTCCCTGCAGGATGACATGAGAACTTACCTGTTTTTGTTGGAGTTGGTGTTAGTTTGGTCCTGGGGGCTGAACCGGACCCTGCAGTGGGAAAACTGTTCCTGACGTTCAGACATTTGAGGCTGGAGTGCATCACTAGCAGCAGCATCAGGGCTCAGATCTTTGAGCTCCTGATGCAAATTAAATGTTTACCTTCAGATAAAACGTGAGCAGGTTTTTATTGCTTACATGGCGGGAATCTTTTTGTTTTCTCCGTGTCGCTGTTGCTGCAGGACTCTGCCCAAGCACGAGCGGCTGGTCGACCTGCACGGCTCCGTGATCGATCACACCTACGGAGACGGCTCCAGCATCGCCGTGCTGCTTATCATGGAGCGACTGCACAGAGATCTCTACACCGGGTTAAAGGTTGCTTGATGACGCAATAAACTCTTAACTGAGAACAACAAAGCAGAAACTCTGAGTTTAGTCTTTTTTTTTTTTTTTTTTTTTTTTGCACCAGGCTGGTTTGTCGCTCAGAGAGAGGCTGCAGATCGCCCTGGATGTGGTGGAGGGGATCCGGTTCCTGCACAGCCAGGGCCTCGTACACCGAGACATTAAACTGAAAAATGTTCTGGTAAGTTCAAATCAACCAAGCAGTGAACTACTTATGCCTTTTATGGGCTGTGTGACACACTGTTGTCATGACAACTAGGTGTTAATTTCATTAGTTACAAAATAGTCTGAGAAAATGTTTCATTTTTGATCTCAGAATATGTTCTCAATGATTTTATGCTTTTTATTTCTGCAGTAAAATTTATATTCATCATAATCAAAATTTCCTGATTTATTAAAAACTCCTTAAAGTAGCATTTGTCCTACAAATCGAATAGTTTGGTAATTCCTGGTAATATGGAGATCACATCACGTTTTTTTAGCTCTTATAAGTCATGTCACATACTTTAGTAAACATTTTATAATTATTTTTAGGGCTGAAACGATAAATTGATTAATCATGATTGCTTATTTAAATAATCAACTAATTTAGTAATTAATTAATTGTTAAGTTGAGTATATAGACTAAAAGCCATTTGCTGAAAGAACAACAAACTCAAAAAATGTTGCATTTGAGATATAAAAAAAGATGTTCTTTGTCTTTAAAAGGGTTTTACCCTGAACTCCTGAAGGGTCACAGTTTTAGCTCAACCTGGTTTGAATCTATTTTGCTTCATTGTCCAGCAGAAAGGGTTAAAGTGTCTAAGTAAAACACAAATGATGAGGCGTACACTATTGTTCTGCATTTTAGATATTTTAGGCAATCAAGTGGTTGACTTTATGTAAAAAAGAAGGTAAATTGTTAATTTGCGTCTTTTAGTCTGCAGTTAATGTTGCATTAAAAGGCTTAAGTTTTTAAATGAGAAATATCCAGAATATGTGCAACTAATCATCGATAGAATAATTGATTACTCAAATTAGTTGCAGCTCTAATTATTTCAAATTGTTTAATTAAACGATTTTATTCCCTTTTTTTCTTTAAGTTGGACAAACAGAATCGTGCAAAGATCACTGATCTGGGTTTCTGCAAACCCGAGGCCATGATGTCTGGCAGCATCGTTGGGACTCCCATCCACATGGCTCCAGAGCTCTTCACAGGTATTCCTTTAACTTTTATACGTTTGGTCACATTTCACCCACAAACCTGGAGGCATTTCGTTTGCATTTTCTGTGTTGGACAAACAGAAAGTAGTTAATAGTTGTGGACGGAAAATGGTGCAGCCTCTGGCTGCATGTTGAGATCGTTCCCCTTCAGAGACGTGATCCTCCGTACCCGTCTCGGGGTTTTTCTGACAAGTTTTCTTGTCTCTAGTCAAAGTTCAGACCTAAATGATGTAGCAAGACTTGAAAGAAGACTTTTCTTAAGGCAGTAGACCCGTTTTATAGCTGCTAAATGTCCTTCAGAGAGAAGCGTACAAAACTGTTGACGTCACAGAAAGCTGCATCTGTCGCTGCAGATCCCCAAGCCTCAGTAAAGGTTAATACGTTTCTGAACCGCTTGTTCATCACACACGCATTTCATTAGCTTCCCGGGGTACGGACTTATTTAGGGGTGTCAGGGTAAATTGACTGAAGTTAAATATAATTTTTCTTCTCATAAATTGGAGTCATTTTCACAAACTTTGACTCCTACAGCGACATGCAGATCTCTGGACACGTCGACTTGCTGCTGGAGGACCCACAACTCTGAGACTGCTGAGCTTTGCTCATTTTTACTAATTTGTAACTTTGAAACTGTTTTGTGCTGGTCTGTCACATTAAACACATTTAGATTGATGAATAAAACATGAAAAGGTTTGAGGTGTGAAGGCTTTTGGGAACCACTGCACACCAGTTTCTACTTAAAACAGAACCTAATTATCCAGATGTTTTCTCCTGACAGGAAAGTACGATAACTCGGTGGACGTGTACGCCTTCGGGATCTTGTTCTGGTATCTCTGCACTGGTTCAGTGAAACTCCCAGAAGCCTTTGAGAAGTGCTCCAGTAAGGACCAGCTGTGGAACAACGTCAAGAAAGGTAAAGGTGTCGCTTTTAATTCTGGTTTGTGTCGGTTCTTGTTGACAAGCAACAAGTAAGACGAACTTATCAGGTTAATCATGATGACTTGAATATTGAAATAATCATCAGATAATTTAGTAGTGCATTACTTATGATCTGGTACAGAGGCTCAAATGAAGGCAACAGCAGAATGAAGCAAAAATTAGATAAAATTTTCTTTTAAAATTAAAAAATAAATTTGTCTGTAAAACTTGACTGGTTCAAATTCGGTAAAAAATATCTTAAAATCAGTTTTTTGCTGTCCAATTATTAAAGGGCTGAGGTTTTCACATGTTGATGTTTGATATATTTTTTAGCTGCAGATGCAAATGATAAAGGAATGATGTTATTGCATTTTGGGCAGTGAAATGTTTCCTTTCTTATTTTAAAAATTAAAGTGAATTATTTGCATCTTTTAATGTGTTAGTGTTTTATAAAAAAAAAAAGTTTTGAAAAAAAAAATCAGCAGAATGTGTCAATTTTTTAGTCCAATTAATGGCCTTGATAATCTATAACTAAAATAATTAGTTTGCATCTCTACTGTCTGAATCTGGACAGTTCAGAATACAGCCTGCAGTGCCACCTGCTGGACACTCAGCAGGACAGCAGCTGGATTGTTCTTGCGGTTCAGAGGATCATTCAGGACGGATCTGGATCAGTTTGTCGTTTAGTTTCTGAGTGATTGATTCCCTGTACGTCCGTCGTTCCAGGCTCCAGACCGGAGCGGGTTCCCACGTTCGACGAGGAGTGCTGGCAGCTGATGGAGGCTTGCTGGAACGGGGACCCTTCCCTCAGACCGCTGCTCGGCATCGTGCAGCCCAGCCTGCAGAGCATCATGCATCGACTCTGTGACTGCAGCTCAGAGCAGAAGAGCAGCAGCTTGGAGGACTCAAACTGAAAACACTCCAGACAAACTAACAGAAACCTGATTTTTGTTGTATTTATGCGAAGCAGAGATGAACGGACCAATGAAAACTCACCTCAGCGGTGGTGGATTTGCATTATTTATGAGGAGCTGATGGAAACCAAGAGTATGCAAACGTGTGTGTTTTATTGCCTTTCGTGTATTTGAATACAAACTGCGCACTATTTCTCATTGTAGCTACAGTGCTAATTGCTACTTCAACATTGAAATGCTACTAGATGCAAATTGTTTTAAAAAGTAGTTTCTTCCCAGTATTACAAAAATGTGTAAGATTAATTTTAGATTGTATTTAAACTGTCTGCATCTATTCAAAAACATCTTTTTTTAAATAAAATGAGCTGTTACAACCAAAGGATTTTCTTTACTTGGTGGGTTAAATGAGTAAACTGAAGTTTTAGTTTCAGTCCGCTTTAATAAAACTGGTTCGTTTAAGTTCAGTTCATTTTGGGAAGATGTGAATGCATAACTCGACTCCGGACTCGGCTCGGTTAAAGTGAACTCTGGAGCAGTTCAAGCGGACCGGACAACGCTCCAAAACCAGAAAGCGAACTACAGTGCAGAGCATTCTGGGTAAATAGAGCTAAAATAAATGTGTGAGTTTAGCACTACAGAGAAAAACAAACTGCTACAAACGCTAAAATCTGGCACCACTCTCTTCGTTTACATTTTGTGAAGGAGGAAGTCACGCTGGTCTTCGTCAGAGGCTTTCATGTTTCCTCTGGTTACGTAGCGCCACCACAGGTAATTGAAAACCGGAGGTTCAGAAAGAGGAGGAGCGCTGAAGGAATCATTTGGGAAGAGGTCAGGATGTTTTAATGTGAGGCAGGTGATGGTGCCTACTAGGGGAGGGGTCAGGGATGGCTGTGTTATAACCCTAAACGTCCTAAACGTTTGACAAATTTGCAGTACCGTAATTCCACCACACTTGGCTCTCTAGCCAATATCAGTTTATTGCGGTAATTTTGCCCCAGCAGTAGCAGGGAGTTAATCTGAGGGGCGTTTTTCAATAGACTGTAGATTCTAACTAACTTGCTAGATGTTGAAAGTTCTAGTTATGGATAAATGGGGAAATATATTTACTCACAGGACATTTAAAGAACTGCTTACAATTAAAATAAGCAAAAATATCCAGGTGGAGATTTTAAATTAAGGGTTAATGGGGTTGATGTGGCCCAAAGAGATGAAAAAAATATTAAGTCCAAGTAATAAGTTAAATGACTTCTAACCCTTTCATGTGGCAGCCAGGCACCTAGAGGAGAGGTGAGGCAAAGGTTGAAGTAAGTAAACAGTTGAAGTGAGAGTTGATGGTCAGATTTGGATTTACTGGAAGGTTGAATTGAGGATTTAGCTGAGTGTTAAGGGTACAGATTGAGGTGAAAGGTTAAAGGTGGTGTTAACTGATAGTTGAAGTGAGGATTGGGGTGATAAGGGTTTAGGTAGGGCTGACATGAGGGTTGAGAGTTCAGGTGAAAAGTTTTACACTTGGAGAATGTAAAACTATGAAGCTGCAACAGGAATCTCCTCCAAGCTGCAGCAGGTTTTTGGTCTGTAAAGGGAAAAACAATCGAAGCCAGAAGTGGTACAAAAACATTTTATTTTGTAAAAACAGGAGTAGTAGAATAAAAGAGACAATCCTCTGTTTGGACATCGTGTTATAACACCACGAATGATTCTGCAGTGTTTCTCTGTATGGCATGAAGTTTATACATAAAAAATGGCAACAGCAGTAACTTTCCTTCAGAGCTTCTCTAAATACATTAAAGATATGTTCTTGATTCATTTACAGGCTGCTCTGTACAGAAGAATGGATTACAGCTCACGCATTTATTTACTTATTTTTTACAAAAAGTCATAGTTGTGTCTCTAGTCCAGGGGTCCCCAAACTTTTTCCTGCGAGGGCCACATAGCTGTTCCTTTCTGTGGTCGGGGGCCGGTCTTAGTTTTTGCAGTAAAAAAAAACAAAGAAATTCTTGTCGACGGGGGGGGGAGACGACGACACTTTTGGATAGATTTTTACCCAGAATGGAAAAAACCGTGAGTGAAACGGTGACTGACGAGTATATATTCCATTGAGGGAAAGTAAGTTTCACAATTGTTCAAAAGCCCCCTGGTGGTTGAAGAAAAATCCACATATAAACCGGAAAATACAATATATGAAAAAAAACACTGAATGCTCTCTGGTATGAGCAGGCGGGCCGGATCCGGCATTGTTCAGGGGGCCGGACCAAATGACGTGGCGGGCCGGATCCGGCCCGCGGGCCGTAGTTTGGGGACCCCTGCTCTAGTCTATAAAATACAGCTGTCTAGTCACTGAGCTCAAACGTGTTCATCCCTCATATTTAATGACCAAATCTGAGAGCATCTGCAGCAACGAGCTCCCAGTGGTTCACACCAACAAACAGAAGATTCATTAAATGTCTTTTGATTCCTACTTGCGCAGATTCGACCAAAATGTAGCTTATATGGAGCATTTGAAAAGATTTAAATACACCGAGTATAAAGACACACTACCTTGTTTTCTTCACTGTTTGGCAGTTTGGATTGTTAAAATATTTATATTTCCTAAATATAAAATGAAGAGAATTGTTGTACTGATTTCTTTAAAACAGAAGTTTACAAACCAAAAGCTTAATGCTGTAAACTGGGAAATCTTGAATGATAAAATATGGAACAACGAGCTGCATTTTGGGAGACATTGCTATGACCAATGAGACCAACATTGGTCATAATAATGATTATTGTTACTTTTAGAGGAAGAAGGATGCCATCTAATTCATAAAAACAAACGGCATCTTAAGTAAAATATGGAAATACTGAAGCAGCATCTAAAGACATCAGCCAGGAAGTTAAAGCTAATCATTTTTTACCCTAATTATTCTGACAAATTACTGAGAAGGACAACAAAATGAACGGTGGAGTTGAAACCCAAACCTGCTGCTGACGGAGGAATGGGGCAAAAACTACAGCAAACTGTTGGGGAAAAACCATCAGGAAGGAAGTACAGAATATCTGTGTAAAGGTTTATCAAATAGAAGGAAAATTATGTCAACTTCTGAATTTAAAGGTGACCCGTTATACTTCATTTAACAACTTAGAATAGGTCTATTGGCTGTACAAAACATTTTGTTTAGCTGAAAATCATTAGATAATGAGATTTTTGTCCGCTGACCTCTTTTCAGAAGGAGCTGTCACTTTAAATCCAAATTAACTGCTGCTCCATGATTACGCCATACATCTTTGAAAAGCAGAAGTGGAGCCTCCTGCAAAACCAACAAGAATGCAGCAAGTCATTTCTGGATGGTAAGTCAACAAGAAAACACTTGTCTTTTCCAGCAGCCATTGTACAGCGCATACAGCGGTAAAACCAGCTGAACAAAATGCTGAAGTTCCTCTTGGGTTGCTAGGTGATGGGCTGGGTTGGGGTTGCTAGGTAACAGCGCAGTGCCCATTGAATGCGACTTACTCTGGAGGTTTTTGAAGCAGTTCATTTTCCAGACACCAGGAAACACGAACTCACTTTGGCTGTCTTTACAAGCAGTTGGTGGAAGAACAAAAACGTGTAAAATGTGAATTTAGCAAAATAAGTCACCTTTGAATAATGTTTCAGAAATTATCTAAAAGTTTTTCTCTCTCATTATTATCAATTTTAACAATTATAAATAATCTATTTAATCCTGACTGACCTACAACATAAAATCAGATTTTGTTGTCCTTCACAGGGAGAAAGAAAAAAAGATAGTGTTTTTTTATACAGAGTATGTTAATGTCTGGCGTAAATCAGCTCATTTCTCCTGTTTGTAAGTTCAGTTCAACGTCCACACACACAGAAATACATAAACGACTCAAAGCTGACGGATGTTTGTCTTTTTGTTTGACTCAGTCGCCTGAGTCTGACCTCCTGGAGCAGCAGGCACAGAGATGCTCACAGCAACCAACGAAATGCCACAAAACAGTTAAAAAATGACAAAAAGAGGTTTCCCTGAACGTCTGGGCGGACGTCTGGACGACCCAACCAGACAGACTTCAAAACAGTTCATATCCAGGAATTAAAAGAAAACAATAAAAACAAAAAAGGTTGACCATCAACATATCTGGACAGCAATTTAAAAAAAAAAAGTGCATTTCTTCAAGTATGTAAACAAAATTTCTTTAAAGGGAGGCTTGTTTTATCCGTGTGACTCCTGAAGTTTGGCTCACACACACACACACACGTATGAACTCACACACTTTCAGCGCATCGTGATGACGAAGAGGCGCCTTCTCTCCTCAAGGTGGAGTCCGGCGAGTGGAGAGGAGGAGGGAGGCTCTCTGACCTGCAAAGACACATCCCTCCATCAGCGGGGTCACATGGAGCTGTTGTTGCAGTGGCTGCTGGGAGACAGAGAGGCGGGAGGGCTGATGTGAGGAAGAGGAGGAGGATGAGTGAAGAGTGAGGATGAAGACGGCACAACATGAGGAAGAAGAAACGATAAATGATGGTAAAGGTGTGAGGCTCAGACTGTGAGGCGATGATGATGATGCTAAAAGGATGTGAAGATCCTGATTGGTTCTGGATCAGAAATTCATGGGACAAAATTAAAGAACAAAAATCTGTGAGTTTTGATTTTGGAAAGGGAAAACGGAGAAAGAAGAATAATTAGGATATTTGATTTTTATGGTTGCTAGAAAAGCCAAAAAGCATTTCAGGAACTTTAAAACGTCTCTTAATGCAGGTGTTTTAAATTATCTGTTTTACCAATTATCAGGGCTGATCAAACAGATTATTGGTTATTTGCCGAGATCTAAACTGAGTTTAAATACAAAGATTAAACTCATTGCATCAGATTGTAACTATGGTAACACAACAAACAAACTATGAAGATTATTGTTTGCAAATTCTGAATGCAAGTATTAAATAGTTAATTAATTTATGTACTTTAATCAAATTGCATGAACCAACCAGGTTCTCAGAGCCTCTGAAGGCCCGCAGCATCACTGATCTTGCACCGTACAAAGTTAACTTTTGGTGCATCATTAATCATGACACCAGTAATTTAGTAGAGCAGAATTATTTATCTAACGAATACTTGAACTCAAGTTAGAAGTTGGATTTTTATTAATTTCTATGTGAGATTATGATTCATTAATTTATTTTATGACTTTTCACATCTATTCATCACAAATCAAAGAAAAACAAAAATCCTTTGCCTTCAGGAAATGAATAAAACTCTTATTTTGTCTCTGAGGAAAACTGTACAATCAGATTTCTGCACCTAAGATTTAATAATAAACACATTTTCACTGAGGCTCTGAATGTGTAAGTATTTGAAAGTTTAAATTGGCATTTGTGACTGTTTACAAAATAGACCAGGATGTATTTGACCATGAGGAAGTCTGGGAACACAGAAGACATCTTTTCCCCATGTCTCCTAGGAGGCGCCGTAAAACTGTGCAGGTGGAAAAGAACGACTAAGAACAACATTCAGCTGAATTAACTCGTGTTGCCAGAAGCTTTTTTAGTTATTAGATTAGATGTAATTTAAAGAGGCCAAAGTCTGTTGTGCATCATAAGCAGTCAGTATAAAAAACAGAAACTCCTTCAGCAGCGAGTTAATTATTGTTTTGAACTCTAAATTTGTGTCATGTATTAGAGAATCTTGTGTTTATTTGGACATTAAAGCTGCGTGGCAGTGATCGATGAAAACAGTCACTGAGGACAAACGGTAAGTTGGACACAGACAGCTGGAAGACGTTGGATGAACCGGTAGCAAGGGGAGACATCGACAGGCAGACATCTCTGTTTCTCTGAGGTTCACTCACTCTGATCCTGACGAGTCTCCGTCCACCGTCCCCGCCTTGATGCTCAGCGCCACGCCGTTCAGCTGCTCCGGCAGGCCGGGCTTGGGCGGCCCGGCCCGAGACTCGCTGGAGGAGGATCCCTGCGGCGACGGCGCGCCGGGCGTTCCTTCACGAGGCTCACTGTGGACGTGATGGACGCTGTTCCGCTCCACGATGGGAGAAAGCTGCTTCTTCTTTAGGATCCCTGCATGAAGGTCCGATGTACGGAAGCCCCAAAGTGACAAAATTCAGTTAAGTGATTCATTCACCAACTTGTTACTTTGATCTGTCATATTTTAAGTGAGAAGCAAATTAATTGAAAATGAGCTATGATTTAAAAAATATATATTTTAATTAATTCACACAAACATAAAAAACTTGTATTGTATGGAAGTTCAAATGTGCCACATTCAAATAACTAAATAATTATTAATATTTACCATTTCATATTATTTTTACAGATCATCTCTAAAAAATGTTTACTGAATGAGATAAATCTACAAGTACTTAAACAGCCAATAATTTGAGTAACTGGGGAATTTTTATTGTATGTATGCATGTTAAATTATGTATTTAAAGACAGACCCATGTAAGTATATATACATACAAATATTTTACATGTATTTAGTATTTATTGTGTAATAAATGCATAAATAATAATCTATTATTTTAAATAAATGCACAGTGGCGCAGTTGGTAGAGCTGTTGCCTTGCAGCAAGAAGGTTCTGGGTTCGATTCCCGGCCCCGGTCTTTCTGCATGGAGTTTGCATGTTCTCCCTGTGCATGCGTGGGTTTTCTCCAGGTACTCCGGTTTCCTCCCACAGTCTAAAAACATGTCAGGTTAATTGGCCTCTCCAAATTGCTCCTAGGTGTGAGTGTGTATTCATGGTTGTGTGTCTCTGTGTTGCCCTGCAACAGACTGGCGACCTGTCCAGGGTGACCCCGCCTCTCGCCCGGAACGATAGCTGGAGATGGGCACCAGCAACCCTCCCGACCCCACTAAGGGACAAGGGTGTAAAGAAAATGGATGGATGGAATATTCATGGATATATTTGCTCCCTCATTTATCATTTCTAATATATTTTAATGATTTAATATATAAATGTTTATTTACTTGTTTATTTATTGAATTGTAAGACTATTCATACAGCAAATGCTGTAAAATGCTGACCGTATGATAACTTATTCATTAGATATTATGCACATTTTTCACATGTAAATAATTGTATAATAGTTTATTTTTTTATTGTGTATTGCCAAATTGGTTCCAACTTTAATTAATTTTACTGACAGACATTCATTATAATTGTACGATTTATTTATTTATGACACTTTTGTCATTCCGCAGATCGGATTTATCTCTGCTCTCAGTATAGCTAACATTAGATCAGTGAATGGTTGTAATTTTCAGGGCTTGCCTCTGTGCGGATGGGCGCTGATGTTTGGGAATGCAGGCAGCAGCGCCGTCATGCAGTCCTGCGACCTTTCGTCTGCTCTGCGACCCAGAGTTGGCTGCGTTGACTCTGGACTGTTCAGCTTTGATCCCTCGCCACTGCCAAGTTCCCCGTCACTCACTGCTGCTGAGCGGTTCACAGGCCAGGGCATCGGACCTAAACTGTTGTCTGAAAAACGGAGGGACAAAAATTTTATTCAGTTCCTACAGTACATAAAATAAAAAGACAATGAAACAAAACAATGGCTGAGAAAAGCAGCATCTTGGGGTCACCAGGTCAGATGCTTTCTACATAAAAATCAGAGGAGGCGTGTCCTCATGTCACAAAGTTAATCATGTGGGGTTTGTTCAATTCTGCTGGAGAGGAGATGAAAGGAGACAAAGTTCAAAGATCCCTAAGCCTGGCTGTTGTCTTTCTACGCAACTTTGCTTGATTCTCATCTCTGCTCCCTGTGGGATTTCTCCCATTGAAATGGATTCCTCCGGTAGATTTTCAACTGGGTCGATCAGCAATTCACACGTTATACTGTCACGACATGTCGACAGTTTCAACAAATGTATAAAAAACATACTTTTGCTACATGCTGCAGCTTTAACAGCCGTTCAGATTGACTCTTCTTTTTGCAGTGGAGGATGGCATCTTCCAGTAAGCTTCATAATGTTAAACTGGTGCATCACACGCAAAACGGACAAACGTTAGCGATTGGGTAAAACTTCAAACTTCAACGCAGTCCTCGCCTCCAGGAAACAATCGTTTCTCAGTCGAGGCTTCAGATCCTCTGGATGAAGCAAACAGTGTTGAACCAGTGGCTGGTTTTATCTTTATCTCTATTTGGGATCTTTTACTCCCCACAAAAAGTATAACCAACCAGAAGGATGGAAAACTGAAATATGTCCAGAGTGATCTGGCTCTTTACCCTGCGGCTGAGGTCTCTTAGTCCCGTTAGACGCCAGGTTTTCCCAGCATTCCTCTGGTGGGAGCGGACCCTCCTCATCCTCGCTGTCTGAGGAGTGTGTGGAGGTGTAGGACCCACTCTGGTCGTCCTCCAGGGACAGGTCGCTGTCTGAGTCCGTGTCATGGTCTGCCGTGGGAACAGAGAGCGTTAGGTGAAGTCTTGAGGTGGAACCTGTGTTGGTGAGGCGGACGGAAGACGATACCCTCCAGACGCTCCTTCGTCTCGTGGAAGAGCGACGTCTGGTCGTTCAGAGCGATGTGAGCCTGGCTGTTGTTCAGCCCGTCCTCCCTGGAGGAAGACAGAACAGCTCACCGTTACTCCACCATCATCATCATCACCACACAGCTGCTCCTGAAGCGTCGCCCTCACCGGAGGGCAAACGGGACGTAGCTCTGCTGGCTCTTTCCGCTCTGCATGGTGCCGTTCAGAGACACGCTGGAGTCTCCGAAGGGAAGGTGGTACAACCGGCCGTCCATGTAGCTGCTGTTGCCTTTGTAGCTCTGGAACCAAAGAGAGAAAAGGCTTTACAACGATGAAATGACTGGAACATGAAGCAGCGCAGAGATGGAAGACCTGCTGACTTATTCACAGCTGATCATTTAAACACATAGGGACAGAAAACGGAGTTGAACCATTTTAACTTTTAGGATTATTTTCTGTAGAAAACCTGAGAAGATGTAGTAAATAATATAAAGTCGATGGCAATGGAGGTTCTTTTCTGTTCAGAAAAGGGAAGAGAAGATGCATCGGCCATTTTTTTTACCAAACAATTCTCATGTTTGACTTTCTGACTTCTGGAGGCTCAAGTTTCCGATTTCAGGGCTTGTAAACATAATTTCTTAAATATCAAAGATGTAGATATTTCTACAGGAATTAGCCTTTAAATATAGAACCGACAATGAATGAATCAGGAAAAAAGAGAAAGAGAAATACAGAAAGAAAGATGGAAACAAAGAAAAGAAAGAAAAGAAAATATGAATGAATGAAAAAACAAAGGAAACCTGCTGTCTAATTAAAAATCTGGACTACTTGTAACTAAATCACACAATATAGTTACTGATAAATGAAACAGAGAACCATATCGAAGGCTCTTCCTCTGAGCTCACCGAAGCTTTAGATTTGATCAAGTGATCGGGGCGTTTTCTGCTGCAGCAGTACTTCATGGCCTTCCTCGCCTCCTTGTTGAAGACAATGCGGAAAAAGAAAACAAACGGACCCTGCAAGAAGAAAGCGAAACAAAAGCAGAACGTGAAGGACGAAGATCAGCGGACAGTGACAGGACTGCAGTCATTGGCTGCCAGCGATCGAGGCTCAGGTCTCACCTGCACACAGTTGAAACCTGCAAACAGGTAGTGGAAGACGATCACGTCGCTGTTGACGGAGAGAAGAGCCAGGAAGCACGTGACGGAAACCAGGAACAGGACGCCGCCGGCGGTCTTCAGGCCCGAGCTGCAGGATAAAACCAACCAGAGAAGGATGGAAGAAGTTAGTGAGGATCTGTAAAGGTTCAGGGATCTGAAGAATGAAAGCTGGCGACGAGTTCCTTCTGGTCTATTGATCATCCGTTAGGTAAAATGTGAATTTTGGCAATAAGTTAATGTTTCAAATTGAGCCGTTTCAAAACCAGCTGGCACTGCTACTCACCTAGCAACCTCAGTGAAGCCCAGCGCGTAACCTAGCAACCCCACTGAAGCCCAGCCCGTTACCTAGCAACCCAAGGGGAGCTCGAGTACTTTCAGTTTTACAATGGCTGCTGGAAGAGACAAGTGTTTCTTTGTTGAATTACCATCCAGAAACCACATGCTGCATTCTTGTTGGATGTGCAGAAGGCCCTGCTAATGCTTTTCAAAGATGTACTGTTGCATAATTGGAGATCTGTTTGCAGCCAGTTTCATGTGTGGATGTAAACGTTGAGTTGGGGGGTGTGGCCGGCAGCAGCTGAATAGGATTTAAAGTGACATGTCTCACACTAGGAAGAACTGACCCGACTAAAATATCACTAACCAAGAATGATTTTGTGCAAAAAATGTAATGAACATGTTCTGGTTAGCCCATAGATCTATGCCAACTTGTTCAGGCAAGACTAACACCTTTAGAGATGTTTAATGACCGAGTCTGGTTACTCACACTCGGAGATCTTTCTTCTCGATGCTGTGGTGTCTCAGCGCGCAGGACGCTCTGAACGACAGGATGTACAGGAAGATGTTCATCTGCAGACAAAACACCAGACATCTCACACCTGTGAGCCTGAACATTTAATCTGGATAAAAACGATTCGACAAACTCTGCCAAGGTGACTTCGTTCACAGTAAATTCAGTCGGACCGCCCATCCTGTGAGCGCGGACTCACCGACACCGCCAGGGCGATCGGTCCAGCGAAGCTCCAGATCAGCGTGTCGAACATGGAGAGCCAGCAGAAGTCAGGGTTTCCGTAGCCTTCAGGGTCCAATCCCACCGCCAAACCTGGAGATTACGCCACAAGCCACAGGCTCCAAAACTAAACTCTGTAGGACATTTTTCATTTTAAAGCATCGTTTAAAACATTAATACATAACGGTGCACCAGGGTTTTATTTTAAGAGTATTACCGATGTGAAGTTTGGCAAAATGTGTTTATTTAATCAGTGATTTTATTTTGTTTAGCATTTTTGTTTTATTATATGCACTACTTCGGAAAGCTGAAAAATAATTTTTCTAACAGCACTACTTCCCATTTCTGTTCACACTGGAGGGATGAGATGCTGCATGTTTTGGTAACAATTTATTTATTTAATATAAATTAAATAAAGAGTCAGTACTGCCAATACGACACTGATTTCATTACCTTTGATATATTAAACATCTGACCTTTAGGTGTTTTTAAAAAATATTTTGTTAAAACCTAAGACAGAATTTGGACAAAGTTTATACAAAATACTTTATAACATATCAATAAAAACAGAAAGAATAGAAAAAAACTAATTAGTGTGTAGTTTTTCTTTAAATAAACAAACAACTGTAATATGAAAGTAAATCAAAGGAAAATATTTTTGAGGTGGAGTTCAGTTGAAATTTCAAAGAGAATCTTAAATTAAAGTATTGATCTTAGCATGTTAGTGTTATAATATACATTATAGATATTTTGGACCAATGCGATCATCTCTATTTCACACCACAATGGCTTCCATAATGTCAGACACATTATTTTCCTTCAAATGAGGAAGACCCAGACCGGTGATGAAGGCCGGGACGCCCCATCCTATCAGGTAGTAGAACCTCATGGGTCCATAGTTGATGTCTCGGACTTCGCTGATCATGCGGTAGATGTGCAGGCCTTCCAGGAAGAGCCAGGAGAAGGAGCAGAGGTAGAAGAAGTGCAGCAGGATAGCGATGACTGTGCAGAGGAACTGCAGGACAGAAGGACAGACGAACCTTTAATGTCAAACATATCAGAAAACTTTAAATCTGGGGATTATTAGGCCGTTTCAAGTCTCAGCTGTCTACAGACTTGCCAATGCATCTGCAAAGGCCTAGCCTTGCTCCATTAAAACATCTGGCTTAGAGTGATGGGAAAATCTGGACATGGAAACCAGTGGAAAAACTTCCAGAATTGGGACAGAAACGTGTGAGGAGAAAAGGAGAGACAGGCTAAGTGGTTTACCGGGTTGTCAGCCTGGTTGATTCCCAGGATGAAGATGAGCTCAGACAGAAAGAGAGCGCCGGCTCCATTGTTGATTATACTCGTCTTGTTGCACTGCATGGCTCTCAGGGACACGAGGAAGATGGAGGTGAGGAAGAGGAAGCCCAGCGTCACGCCAGCTGTGCTCCACGTCAGCATTTTGATGGGCAGGATCTCTCCGTTCTGGTGCAAAACAGCGTTTATTTAGCACAGAGCTGCAGCCAGGCTGCTGCTGATCGGAGAGCCGACCCACCTCCCTCCTGGAGACGTCCATCAGCACGGCGAAGCTGGTCATGTGGTAACACTGGCAGCTGATGTGGGAGCTGTTCCTGAAAACCACCTCGCAGCCTTTCGCCGACCAGCCGCCGCTTCCCCCTCTGAAACACAACCAGGCGTCATGAGAGGAGCGCGGCGCCGCCCTGCCGGTCCGACACGCCGAGCGGCCTCGCACTCACAGGATGGTGTGGTTCCAGAACACGCAGATGGGCTTGGAGCGCTCCTCGGTGGCGACCAGGCGAAACTGCACCGTGATGGGCTTGTCCAGCGCGTGCTGCAGCAGCTCGTCGTTGTCGTGCACCGTGATGCTGACCACCGGCGTGTTGATGACCGGACGCTTCGGCACACTGCCGCAAAACGAGTCAGAATCAGAACATGGAAAACGCTTTTCTGTCGACAAAGCAACTCGAGCCAAATCGCTGTAACCATAAGCAACATAAAACTTATAATTAAATTTTACCTACATGATCTTATCCACCGATTTTATCTACCTTAACAAAGGTCTAAAAATCAACCACTGTCTTCTTTAGTTCTCCTGTCAAACTGATATTTTTAGCAAAATTTCAAACAAGTAAAGTCAGTATTGGTATCGGTCAAAGTCAGAATCGGCAGACCAGGGTTTTTAAAAATCGGTAATCGGACAGAAAATTGCAGTATGTGCACCAATATTAAATACAACCTAGATATAAAGCAAGTAAGTAAAATGAAATAAATTAAAAGTATGTTAATATATTAATAAAGCTACACGAGTCCAGAGTTGGGTGTTGTGTAAATTGATAGCTGCAGTTACACTGCAAAATCTTGCCAAGTATTTCTTGTCTGGTTTCTAGTTGAATTAAAACAAAACTAACTTAAAAGTAACTTTTCAGCGAGACGTAGCAGCTTGTTTTAAATCAATAATGCTGATGAAAAAGATTATTTCACTTATAACATGGGAATAATGTCTTGCTGTAAGTGAAATAATCTGCCAACTCAAACTTTTTAAAATCAATATTAAATGATTATTGACTTAAAACAAACTCATTTATTTTGCTGAAAAGTTACTTGTAAGTTTTATCTTAATTTAAATGTACTGAGATATTTGCACTAGAAGTAGCCCAAAAATTATTGGTAAAACTCTGTGTTTTTGCAGTTTAACTTGTCAAATACAAAATTACTTTCTAAATTCAATCATCTGAACTTCCACATTTCAAACAATCAGAGAAGTTCATTCAGGTTTTTGTTCCACATG